CGCCGCTGCGCGCCGACCTGGCTGAGCGGCTACAGCCGCTCACTCAGGCAGCCTATGTGGGCGAGGCGCGGCGGAGGCTGGAGAGGGTCCGGCGCCGCCGGCTGCGGCTTCGAGAGAGGGCCCGGGAACGCGAGGCCGATCGGGAGGCAGAGGCCGCGCGGGCAGCGGAACGCGAGCAGGAGATTGACCGCTGGAGGGTCAAGTGCGTGCAGGAGGTGGAGGAGAAGAAGCGGGTAAGAGCAGCGGACGTGCGAGGGGGTAGGGTAGGGGTGGTGATAGGTGGAACCTGAAGTCGCCTGAGGCTTTAAACTGCCATTTCCCAGGTCTCTTTCCTTATCCGTAAAAAAGATACCTTGGGCCGGCCGGTAGCTCACTCGGGAGAGTATGGTGCTGATAACACCAAGGCCACGGGTTCGGATCTCATATAGGGATGGCCGGTTAGCTCACTTGGGAGAGCGTATTGCTGACAACACCAAGTCAAGGGTTAAGATCCCCTTACCGGTCATCTTTAAATAAATAAATAAATAAAATCTAGCCTTTCCACCTCATACCTCTGTATTAATTGCGTGTTAATAATGTGTAGTACACAAGACAAAAGCCCTAGGTGCACTGTAAAGTCCTGTAAACACCAAGTATAGGATTACACAGTGGCATTGCAGGGATGACAGGTCTCCTGTGTCCTGCTCCAACGTTCTGTCAATTTGCTGACATTCAAGACTAACAAGTGTTTGGGACCTTATGTATTGTACTGCCCTAGGTTATTTTAAGAGTACAAAATGTAGAGAACTTGGGACTGGACCTCGGGAACACATATCCTAATTGACTGATGAGGCAATAGTGGTTTTCCCAGGAGTCCTTTGCTTACAAGTTTTAAACTATATGAGGGTACTTCAAAAAGTTCTTGGAGGGGGGCCGGCTGGTTAACTCCTGAGTTAGAGCGCGGTGTTGATAACACCAAGGTCAAGAGTTCGGATCCCTGTACCTGCCAGCTGACAAAAAGAAAAACTTTAGGAAAAAGTTCGTGGAGAAATGAAATTAAAAGATAATACAGATCTTCTCATGAACTTTTCGAAGACCCTGCATATATCCCCAGATTCAGCAATGGTGCTTTTGAGCACTTGCTGTGAAAAAACTTTAGGAAAAAGTTCGTGGAGAAATGAAATTAAAAGATAATACAGATCTTCTCATGAGCTTTTCGAAGACCCTGCATATATCCCCAGATTCAGCAATGGTGCTTTTGAGCACTTGCTGTGTGTATACTAGGCACTATGCTGAGGTTGACTTCATAACAACCCTGAGAAGTAGGAGGTGCTGTCCCAATTTTACACATTAGGAAATTGAGGCATAGAGAGGTTAACTTGCCAATGATCACACCATCAGTTTGTGGCAGTTCACCCTGGATTTGAGCCCAGATTGTCTGATTCGAAATCCTGTTGATCTCAAGCTCTTAAGTAGGGCCAGGGTGAAACTGGAAATTAGTCAAGTAGTTGTTTAAGGCGTACACATTACCGTTGAGTGCTTCTGGGGTTCCTTTCCCCCCTCCCTCCACTCTCCATAATCAGCTAGTGTCTCTTCCCTCCTCCTTATGTCTGCTACTGCCATAGAGTCTGATATAACTTCGCTGTGAAGTGGCAAGCTTTGTTGTCACACCCTCAGGAAAATCATTGCTTTAAAGGAAAATGCCTGGAGAGGCAATGCTTTAATCAGAAGGAGTTTGAGTGAGTTCAGCAGACATTTAATGAGGGTCCATTATGTGCCAGGCCCAGTGCCGGATGCTGGGGATAGAGATGAATAGGACATAGCCCTTGTCCTTGAGGGGTCCATGGAAGATCATGTCAGTATAGCATGGTGTGTTAGGGTTTCAACTGTAGGTACTACAGGAACCCAGAGAAGGGATGTCTAATCCATTGGAGGAAGGCTTCCCGGATCATATAATGACATCTGAGCTGAATCTTGAAGGAAATGTCAAAGCCAGGGTGAAAGCAACAGGTGCTTTCCAGGCAGAGTAATCCAAGCAGAAAAGTGAAACAGCATGGTTTTGGCTTTAATGATGGAATTACAGGTACTTATTTGACAGATGGGAGTGAGAGCTTTAGGCAAGAGGATGCTTCCCACCACCACCCATGGTAAGGGTATTAGAGACAGAGTTTCATGAGGTGTGGCTTGTGTAACTGGAGTTATTTAGTTTACATGTGAACCAACACGAGAAGAGTGGATAGTGGTCTTCGGATGCTTGAAAGGCTGTCATGTGGGAGACATCCTTTGGACGTTAGAGCAGTGGAGCACAAACTGCGAGGGTTGCCACTCAGAGACCACTGTAGAGACCTGGCCCTTTCCTATCATTTCTTATCTTCCCTGGGAGTCTAAATCTTTAGGCCTAGGGGTGTGCGTTTTTAACAAGAGAGCCCCAACTTAACAAGGCACATTGGATACAAATGCTCCCCACACCACACTTTGAGAAACACTGAGGAAGAAACGATCAGTGCCCACGTGGAAGCTGCAGAGAGGAGAGGTTCTGCTTTAAGATGAGGGTTGTGCTGTCAATGGAGGGGGTAACCCCTTGGCTAGAACGGAGTTATGCAAGGCCCGAAATTGGAATGTAGAGTCTCTCTTAACACTTGGACTGTCTGATCCTCTGACATCTTGCCACCGGGCAGCTGTTCTCTGCTGTAAGGTTGTTTATAATACCAGGTCTCATGGGCTCTGTTTCTCCTCCAGGAGCAAGAACTCAAAGCTGCCGCTGATGGTGTATTATCTGAAGTGAGGAAAAAACAAGCAGACACCAAAAGAATGGTGGATATTCTTCGGGCTTTGGAGAAGTTGAGGAAACTGAGGAAAGAGGCTGCGGCAAGGAAAGGTAACTGGTTTTGCATTTTTACTTGCATTTCTTCCTCTGTTCCCTTCCCCTTCTTTACCCTAGTACCTCTTTATCCCAAATATTTTTGAAGGAAAAATACTTAATACTTCATTATTTTCACCCTGTAGAGTAACTGGGCTTGTCAGCAGTAGCTCAGAGCTTTTGAAGCAGGAAGCCTCAGAAGATGTTTAGCCCTGTAGTAGTGAGGTTGAAATGAGAGGCAGTTGTGGGAACTGACTACATTGTCTTCCCCTTGACTCATCATTCCTACGCCAGGCATTCCTGGCCATGCTTTTCTGAGTGGGCTTGCCATGGCTGGTCCACTGTGCCCATGTGCCAAGGTAAAAGCTTTCCTACCCTTACTTGGTGCTCTAGAAGGTGTTGAAAACTTGGCATCCTCCTTCAGATTCATTTCAAACCTGAATTATCGCTATTTGAAGAGGTATGAATGGTTGGACATGGCAAGGAGTGCCCTGCACACTACATGTATGTCCCCAGCTTCCCTGCATGTCATTTTTGGACTCAAAAGACTTCACTGGTCTCCTCTTGTCTCTGGAGGGAGCACCAGACATAGCTAGGCAGTCCAAGCCTGTACACAAGTTTGTTCCAGCCATGCTGGTTTTCTAGAAGTTACCCAGTTGTGCTTTCCATTTGCCTAACTGGATCTTTGCTCTTGCCAGTCTGTTGATCTGGAGGGCCCTCAGTGCCATCTTTTGCATTTTTTTTTTTTTTTTTTTTTTAAGATTTCACTATCCTTCAAAACCAAATACAGATGCAACATCCACTATCCTTCCCTGATCTAGGCCAAGGTGACCACCTGCTCTTTCTCTCTTGCACCTGGTTTGGACTGCATGCTGCCGTATTTAGTGCATTTCAGGCCCTTGACATTCACCAGAGATATTTGAGAGTACACAAATTAGCAGGTGTCACTAAAGCAAATGATTTCCCTTGTGTGGTTTAAAATATAAATGCATCCACTATCCTTCCCTGATCTAGGCCAAGGTGACCACCTGCTCTTTCTCTCTTGCACCTGGTTTGGACTGCATGCTGCCGTATTTAGTGCATTTCAGGCCCTTGACATTCACCAGAGATATTTGAGAGTACACAAATTAGCAGGTGTCACTAAAGCAAATGATTTCCCTTGTGTGGTTTAAAATATAAATGAAATCTGTGATTCTTTCAGACCCTTTATAAAGTTTTGTTGGGATGTGACCATTGTGTATCCAGCCAGGCTCACTCACTAGCTAAGTGATTGGCTTCTGCATACCAACCTTCAGAGTAGCTAATTCACATTCAGTCCTCAGAATTAGGTGACCCCATTTTGGTACTTTTAGAGCACTTGTAAGTCAGAGGAGAGGTAGCATCTGTGTCTACCCATCTCTCTTCCTTACTAGAAAGCAAAACCTGAGGTTTGCTATTTAATATTCCCCCACCCTGTGTCCTCTGTAAAGCTGTGCACTATGCCAGTTGTCAGGTTACAGCAGTAGCTACGCTAAAGCCAAAATCTTTCATTATTTTAGTTATACTAAGTTTCCATTTGTATTGTCAGGCTAGGGCTCAAACCTTTCAAACCATTGTACAGACTGGGTCACCAGTCCCCTCATGCCAGGCTGGGTCACCAGACCCCTCACACACAGGTCCACAAGTTAGATAATTGGGAAGGGTCCCGGGAGCCATTGGCAGATGACACGAGCTCAGTCCTCAGTAGGAGCAGCAGAAGCAGCAGTGGCTGTGGCCTCCCGGAGGGTCCCAGAGGCCCTGGCAGAAACAGCTGGCAGCAACAGAGTCCAGCAGCAGTAGCAGCCTCCCTATGGCCCCCCTAGGGACATCCCAGGAGGGGAGGCTGTGTGGATCAGAGCCACTCGTCCTTTATACTTAAGTCCATAACCCAGGACACCTGGGTGCACATGCGCAATTACATTAGACATAACCAAGGAACACCTGGGTGCATTTTCCTGTATTTTCCCTACAGTCCTCCATGAGATGAGTGTCAGTAAACTTCTGCCAAGTGAACTTACCAACATAATTTCAATATTAGTCTTCCTCACTTTGGTATAAAAGAAGGAGGAAATTTTTGGAGGAATTATGATCTATAAAAATAACCAGCCTCTGAAGTTAACTGACTTGAATGTAAAAATTTTTTAATTTGGTAACTAACAGCTGGTTGCATTATGTACTTAAAAAGAAAATAAGCAGTTTTATAACCTCTCTTCAAGATTTATGCACCTTCAGGTAGATGCTGAGAGATGAGGCTGGGTATATAAGCAGGGCTACGTCACAAATTGTCTTATACGCCAGGCTGGAATTTTCACCTATGCTTAAAGCTATGGGGAACCACTGAAAGATTTTAAGCAGTGAGAGAAATGCGTACAAAGATCACTGCCTGCAGAGCAGAGAAAGGCTTAGAGCATCTAGGAGAGAGGGAGAAGGGGAGAGACTGGTAAGGCTGTTGTAGTCTAGGCAGGAATAGTATGGGAGCATGAACTAAGAGTCAGACAGTAAGTTGGAGAAAAGTAAATGAATTTAATAGGTAATGGATAAAGTAGAGAGAGAGTATATGTTTGTACATATAAATAAATAACTCAGCAAATGGGAGCCAAAGAAAAAAAATGACTTCTAGGTTCTAGTCTGGTTTACTGAGTGAGTGATGATACCATTCTAATTAAGGAGGAACAGGTTTGAGTTGATGAGTTCAGTTAGGGCCCGACTGACTATGAGGTACCTGTGATACGTCCTGGACAAGAGTTCATCAGCATGAAGCCATGAGTCGGAATGACCTTAAGGAGGTTGAATAGTATGATATGAAAGCCAAAAAGACAAAATCTAGGGAATGTCAAAATCAAGGCAGATAAAGAAGAGACCACGAAGGAGACCAAGAGAGGTCAGAAAATTAGGAGGAAAAAGCAGACTCCTTTAGGAAAAGGTAGACCCCATACCTCCTTCTAGACAGTGGCAAATTCATGGAGAGATTGTGTAATCTTGGCCAGTTTACTTAAACTTCTCTGAGCCTTGGTTTCCTCATCTGAAGAAAGGGAATAATGATAGTACCTACCCAAGGGGTGTTGTGAGGATTAAATCGGTAAATATGTATAAAGTACTTAAATAGTCCTGGAACATAGTAAATGCTTTATAAGTGTTTCATATTATTACTCTTTTTATTATCAAGTACTATAAAGGCTAAGTGACATCCATGGGAATTAGCATCCAATAGGTCATTAGTGACTTATGCTAAGGGCATTTCAGTGGAGTGGTGGGGCTGGAAGCCTGACTAGAATAGGTTAGAGAGTGAATAGGAGATAAGAAAAGCAAACAGTGAATTCAACTTATTGAAAGATTGCCTGTGAAGAAAAGGAGAGAGCAAGATCAATATCTGGCCATGTGTGTGGTGGTGGTAGGGACAGCTGTTGTGTGTCTTAGGGTCATGGGAAAACTTGAGTTTGTTTAAAAGCTAAGGAAAGTGAGTAGAAGGGGAAGGGTCAAAGAGAGAAGCAGGAGGGATAGTTGATGGCCCAAGTTCCCACAGAAGGTAGGGAGACTCGGATCCCAGATGGAGGGATTAACTTAGGTGGAGAAGGACTCATCTTCCACAGGCATGAAAATGAAGGAGGTAAGGGTGGGCAGTCGGGCAGCAAGTTGAGGGATTTCTTGCCTGCTGGCCTGTTTTCTCTGGGAAATAAGTCACAGGCATGAAAATGAAGGAGGTAAGGGTGGGCAGTAGTACAGATGCGTGCAGTCGGGCAGCAAGTTGAGGGATTTCTTGCCTGCTGGCCTGTTTTCTCTGGGAAATAAGTTAGATGGTTTGCTGAGAGTCAGTAGAGAAGTGGGGCTTTAGGAGAGCAGTAAAGGTTTGAAATAACTGCTGTGAGGAATGGGTGAGAGCCAACCAGAGACCCGTGGAAGATGGTTGCAGGGATGTACTATGGGTCCAGCTAACGTGTCTATACAGATATACTGGCACCAGGTCACACAATCAAATGACTTTCCTTCAGGAATACTCTGCAGCTGATAGTGAGCACAGAACATGGGGCTGTTGGGGTTTTGCTTTATGGGGTGACCACAAGTTTTGGTGAGAAGGAATGGAGGAAGGATGGAGTCTGATACATCAGGTCTGGAAGTTTTGGTGAAGCTGACAAATGGGTCTCTGGAGAGAAAGAACTAAAAGTACTGGGAGGGTAGAAAGTTGTCAGAGAAGAGAATAATTGGGTTTAAGACTTCAGAGGGAGAAAGATTTTTTTCTGATGATGACAGTCCAAAGACTGGACCAGGCCCCAAGGTGTGTGTGGCTGAAGAGGAATAGAGGCAAAGGCTTTGGTGTCTAGGAGCTGCAGGACTAGGGCGTGAGTGGTAGAGGTGGAGGGAACCAGGATGATGCCAGTACATGGGGTCAAAAGGAAGACTCAGTGAGGAATGCCATTTCTAAGAGAATGTGTCAAGTTGACCAGGGAGTGATCAATGAGGAGTTGAGGGAGGTGTATGTGGGTGTCCCGGGCCTAGTAGCCTGAGATGGGAGCAGGCCACAGCTCCCCATGGGGTCTGGACGCACTTATGGGCTGATGGAGTGTCTATATTTTTGTCGTGCCAGCAGATTTTAGTAGTCGAAACAGAGACTGTATGGCTTAGAAAGTGTAAAATATTTACTATCTGGCCTTCTTCAGAAAAAGGTAAAGAAATGAAACAAACAAAAAGGAAACAAAACCATGAAATTATTGTAAAGCAACATACTAGAAGCTTAAATTTGTCAGTGCTAGGAATTTAAGTTTGTCAGTGTTAGGAATTTTGCGTGTACTTGGAAAATATTAGCCTGGCAGCTTACTACAAGGTGAATTTGAGTTGTGGAGTTTCCATAGTTGGGAATGAGTGAATGGAAACCTGTTCAGGCAAAGCAGTTATGATCTGGAGAAATGTTAGCCTTAGAGGTGAAGATAGGAGAGCACATTCCACAACCACTTAGCTGTAGTGCTTGAAGGAGAAAAGAATCATACCTACAGAATTACTAAACTTGAGGAACCATTATTTTATGCAATTTATCAGCCAAAATTGAAAATTTAATGCTGAAAGCTGGCATGAGTTGTTAAAATCCTGTTGAAGGGCCGGCCCGGTGGCGCACTGGATAGTGCGCCGCTTGGGAAGCGCGGCGGCGCTCCCGCCCGAGGGTTCGGATCACACGCACCCAAAAAAAGCTAGTAGGGAAACTTGCCAGAATTTGAACCCAGATCTGCCAAAACTCCAAAGTCAGACCATAATTGTGTCTCCCAGTGTGTAAATATCTATCAAATACTTTGTGCACATGTGTGAACATGCCAAACTTTGAATGATTTAAGTATAACCTGTATTTTAATACTTAGGACAGCATCATAAAATTAATTTCTAAATGAATATTGAAATTTATCCAGTTTCTATGTTTAGCAATTGGTGTTAATTTACCTCTCATAAGTGCTAGAAAGGTTCTACAATACCTCCTCCAGCCCTTTTATACTATTCAAGCTTTTTATTAGCCCTAATGTTGATTGCCTGTTGAAAATCACTCATTCATCAAAGAAAAATTTATTAATTACCTTCTCTGTGTCCAGTATTAGATAACTGATAAATATATAGCTTTTTTTTTTCTTTTTCCAACATGTTTGTGAATAGATATGTATAACTTTTTTAGGAAGCAGTTTAGTACCGCGTTTTGATAGTCTTGAATGTACCCATAAACATTTCTACTTTTGAGAATTTGTCTTACAGTAATAATTCATGGGGGGGAAGTAATATGCTATAGAGTATTCATTGTAGCATTATGTAATAACAGGACATTTGGAACAGCTTATGTATCCAGAAGTAGGGAGCTTATTAAGTATGTTGTGGTACATTGACTTGATGAAATAGGATACAGTCATTACTGTAGTAGAATGTGGAGCAGAATACTGGAGTAGAATGTGGAGAATCAACATGGAAATGTGGAAATTACATACATATTACGTTGAACTATATGAGGTTGCTAATATAGAGAGAAAGAGATTGGATGGCAACATGGGGAAATAAGAATGGTTGATTATGGTAGAGGGATTAGGATTTTTTTCTTCCTGGGTAATAAATACATTTTTCTTTAAAATCTTAAAGTACTAACAGGATGAATCACACCCACATCATTCTACAGTGAATCACCTAGCAGCTTCAGCAGCTTTTATATTACAAGGTCTTTATGGTAGAGAATGCTCAACTGCAATCCACTCAAGTATTCATTAAATTAAAATTTTTTTTCTCATGAAACTTTATGAAGAATTCCACATATGCACAAAAATAGAATACCCATCATCAATTATGATGATATTATTACACCAAAAAAGGTTAGCAGTAATTCTTTCATATCGCCTAATAACTAGCCTCTAATCAAACCTTTTCAATTATAGCTTTAGCCATTTTGGTTGTACTTTTAGCTGACTTCACAGTTAAATCAGGGTGACAACCATCCTGGTTTTCCTAGGACCGAGAAGTTTCCTGGGACATGGAGCTTTCAGTGCTAAAAGCAAGCACACTGAAACAGGTGGTCACCTTACTGTCAGCAGCAGACTGAGGTCAGTGTGGTTGGTTCAGTTTCTTCTTCCTCACCATCTAAATGTGCACTCTCAAAGTTCAAACTCAGAGGGAGAATTGTTTATTAGTTATGTCTGGGAGTTGATGCAGAGGGAATTTCATGAACAATGAAGAAGTTAAGACAAGTTCCTCCCTTTAGTGAGCTCACTGTCCAACTGAAGAATCAAAACCATTACAAATAAACAAAATCAAGTGGTGACTATGATTAACACTTAAGTTTTGTATATTCCATAATAGCTAGAGAGGCGTTCAAATGTTCTCATCACAAAGAAATGGTAAATGCATGAGGTAATGGACACACTACCCTGACCCTATCATTATACAATATATATAGGTTGCAAAACATCAAATTGTACCCCATAAATGTGTACAATTACAATGCATCAATTAATATAACTAAAATTTTTAAAAGAAGAAATAAAATCAAAGGTTAAGTGGTGTGATCCAGAGGGAGGAGTGAGAGAAAGTTGGGGTAGGGTCAGAGTAATTGTAGTCTCAAAAAGATCAAATTGAGCCTTGAAGATTGGATAGAATTTCCAGATTCTAAGCAAATTCATACTATAGGTAGGACTGTGAGTCTGCTCATTAGAACATAGATTTGGGGTAAGGAAAAGTTGTATCTAAAATGCCATTTTGTTCTTTTTGTGCAGGGGTTTGTCCTCCAGCATCAGCAGATGAGACTTTTGAGCATCATCTCCAGCGGCTGAGGAAACTCATTAAAAAACGCTCTGAACTCTATGAAGCTGAAGAGAGAGCCCTCAGAGTTATGTTGGAAGGAGAACAAGAAGAAGAGAGGAAAAGAGAACTGGAAAAAAAACAGAGAAAAGAGAAAGAGAAAATATTATTTCAGAAACGTGAAATTGAGTCCAAGTTATTTGGGGATCCAGGTAAGTTCCTCTGTAAGCAGTAGAAAGAAGGAAAATACTAGATCAACAGCTTTTCTTATCATGAGTGATCTCAACTTAAGCTAAGAAGTGGTAGGCAACAAATAACATCTTCCAGGTTTGAAATTCTAAACTGTATCATGAAACTCATGGATTCAAATTTGATCATATTGTCATAGGCTCAGCTATCTTGCCTTGAGAACTATATTGGATATCAAGCATGATGATGTGGTATTGTGCCTTTTCTCTTTCAGACGAGTTTCCACTTGCTCACCTGTTGCAGCCTTTCCGGCAATATTACCTCCAAGCTGAGCTCTCCCTGCCAGCTCTCATCCAGATAAGGTCAGTGAGGCAGGCTGTCCCTGTAGTGTTTCACTTAGGTAGCAAGAAGGACTTGATGAAGTGCTTACATTGTTGAGGTCTATTACTGTATCTTTTTTGTTTGTTTGTTTGTTTGTTTTGTCCTTTTTGAGACCGGCCGCACCGCGCTCAGCCAGTGAGCGCTGTGAGCGCACCGGTCATCCCTATATAGGATCCCAACCCGCGGCGGGAGCGCTGCTGCGCTCCCAGCGCCGCACTCTCCCGAGTGCGCCACGGGCTTGGCCCAATTACTGTATCTTTTTAAAAGTTCTTTATGGGTTTATAATGTTTCCAAGTTTCAAGGATGCCACATATGTCTTGTTTAGTCTTCACTAATCTTTAAAAACTAAATGTCCCTATTTTAACAGGTGAAGAATCTGAAACTCAGATTGTCACTTGCCCTTTTGTATTATCCCATGTTATAACTGTCATGTTGATTTATAGCATTGGCTTCCTTTTCCTGATTCTCTTCTGATGCTAAATAGACCCAGGAAAAGAAACTCACCTGTGTGCTACTTACCTGTGGGGACTGTTTAAGACCCATGCTGACTATCAAGCTCTTATAGTTCAAAGCCCAGAGAGCTGGGAACAAGGAGTCTCATCTCAATCTGCAGTTACTAGTGAGCTGGATAAAGTTTTCAGCTCTCTAGGTATCATTTTCCTCACCTATAAAATGAAAATGATGGACTAGAATGTGGTCCTCAAACTTTAGCAGCAGCACTCTTCCCAAATGCAGTCTTTTGAGAAATCCGTATATAAAGCAAATTGGGTGAATGAGTTCCCTAGGCAGTTTAAATTTGTTGTTACCTGGAAGCACTTGTTTCTAGACTCCCCCAAAACATCAACTTGGAGTCTTTAAAGTAGTTTGAAAGTCACTGAACCAAGTGGTCTCTGAGGTCCCTTCTAAAGCTCCAACAATTTGTGATTCTTGTGAAAGAATACTCTTTAGCATACCAAGTTTATGTTCTGGGAAAAGTTTGTTTCAGGCTAATGTACAAGTTTTAGCTTTTAAATATAATTACAGTTGATTCTCACTATTCGTGATAGCTGTATTCTGTAAAGTTACGGCAAACACTGAATGGCAGAATAGTGAACCATTTCTCCTAAAGTAAACACAGGGCTAGGTAGATTTCTGCGAGCCTCTGGTCACAACATTTTCATCAAATGATTAATACCTTGTTTTACATATTTCTGTTTAAAGACATCGTATTTAACATACATTGTTGATTCATTAACATTGAACTCATGGCTAACAGCACTGTATCTCATACCTGCATGAAACTTCTAACAGGCATATTTTCTCCACAAGGCACAGCTCAGCCTTTTCGTGCTTAGGAGCACTAGCTAGCACTTCAACACTACACTTGGGGGCCATTTTAAACAGCAAAATCATCAATAAAAAGCACAAAAATGTTTCACTAAATAGACCGTGGAAAGGATGCTTGTTTACACTATGAGAGCTGAGAACAGGAATGCAGAATAAGTGTTACAGGGGCCGGCCTGGTGGCGCACTGGATAGTGCGCCGCTTGGGAAGCGCGGCGGCGCTCCCGCCCGAGGGGTCGGGTCCCACATACAGACCGGCTCCCGCTCACTGGCTGAGCGAGGCGCGGGAGCAGCGCCGGGGCTTGCGATCCGTTGCCGGACACGGAAAAAAGACAAAAAAAAAAAAAGAATAAGTGTTACAGGGGCCGGCCTGGTGGCGCACTGGATAGTGCGCCGCTTGGGAAGCGCGGCGGCGCTCCCGCCCGAGGGGTCGGGTCCCACATACAGACCGGCTCCCGCTCACTGGCTGAGCGAGGCGCGGGAGCAGCGCCGGGGCTTGCGATCCGTTGCCGGACACGGAAAAAAGACAAAAAAAAAAAAAGAATAAGTGTTACATTATTCAGTCTCAGCTGGGAACATGCATTTTGGTAACTCAGATTTTCACCACTGTGTACAAGCATTCATGAAAGCACTACAAGTAATGATTTTGGGGTTACAAATAAATTTTAGTGAGTAAGCAAATTTGCAAATACAGAATCTGCAAATAATGAGGATCAACTATGCATTCATTATTTGGTTTTCCATAAGGCTATAAGTTCTTCAGAGATTTTTCCCACTTTAATTTAAGAAATATAGCCTTTTGTGCAATTCCTAAAATTCAAGTTCTATAGGGGTTAGTACATCAGTCATTTGAAAGCTGAGTCCTAGAAATAGAATAATTAGTTGCGGGGCCGGCCCGGTGGCGCACTGCTACAGTGCGCCGCTTGGGAGCGTGGTGGTGCTCCCGCCGAGGGTTCGGATCCCACATACAGACCGGTTCCCGCTCACTGGCTGAGCGAGGGGCGGGCGCAGTACTGAGGGTTGCGATCCCGTTGCCGGTCCCGGTCCGGTACGGGCGCGACACTGAGGGTTGCGGTCCGTTGCCGGCCCCAAAAAAATAAAAAAGACAAAAAAAAAGAATAATTAGTTGCTGAACATATTGCTTGGAATAAAACAGAAATAAACAGTTGTTCTACATGTTCTTATTAAGGCATGATTGGGATCAGTACCTGGTGCCATCTGATCATCCCAAAGGCAGCTCCGTTCCCCAAGGATGGGTCCTTCCCCCGCTCCCAAGCAGCGACATCTGGGCTACCGCCATTAAGCTGCATTAGTAAAGATGCTCCAGGATCTATTTCAAGCTCTCAATGTTAGTGATGCTGCCATCTCGTGCTGAGGACTAAATTGCAACTTCTAAACTTCGTGTGGCATTGCCCTACCCTGAAGTTACACTTTCCTTCTGTGCTCTGTCCTGGCGAGAGGGGCTTCTTGAATCAGGAGATTAATATTGTTCTTCAGGAAAGGACCTAGGTGAACTGAGGTTATTATTACAGGCAGTGGCCTTGGTTCACCAAATTTGCCTCTGTTTTGAGGGGCTTGGTCCAGAGTGATTTGTTAATTTACTCTAACTTCCTCCTTTGGTGATGGGTAAGTACACTCAATACACTCAAATACTCAGTGCAGGTGTACACTGGGTAGATTTAGCAGCCCTCCGACCAATACTGAGTGTGAAGGCAAGCTTTATGCAAAACCTCCTTACTCTTCCTACCCAAAGAACCCTCTAATTTCCATGAGGAAAGGTCAAAAATGCTTTATCTTTGGTTTTGTTAATCCCAGTTTTGGTGTAGTTTGGGAGACTGCTAGTTAGGAAGATGGCAGTGGCTACATGCTGGGCTGCCAGAAAAAATAGTGGCCTAGTCTTGGTGGTCATGTGGAGAACTTAGAAAACCTGAAGAGTACCTGTACCCAAATTGGATCATGTTTTAATGGACTAAGACTGTATTCTCCCATGTTAGAAGGATTCTAATGAGGGCACACAGGGGTCTAGTTGTTCAGAATCTCCAAGCATAGATATTATTTCCCTGCGGGAGTGGGACCTTAACCATACTCCATCACATTGTAGGAGCTGGTATAGCTGTGGAATTTTCTTAGGAACTCAAGCTTCCAAAAACATCCATGGAGTCAAAGCTGGGGGAAAAGCAAGTAAAAATAATGAAATTTATTTTCTATATTCATTAATAAATGCTGTTGTGCTTGCGGATGATTGATCACATGACATGTCAGGATTTTTTGTTTTGGTTTGGTTTTTACCAATTATTTTGTTATTTATATTTCAAGAAGACTAAATAAATTTTATTTTTATTTTTTAGTTTGAGCCTTTGACCCTAATTTGTTGCCTCCTAAATCACTTAATGCATACTTTCACATTTATGAAACACATTTTCACCGCAAAATTCAAATTTATTAAACAGGCTTTTGCTATGGGAAAGTGAATCTCGACAACCTTGCCACTATGACATCTGTATTGATGAGAAGAAAGGGTGTGTAATGCAGGGACACAGGAAAACTCAGGCAGCAGAACCAAAGGAGAAGGTGGCATTTAGTCATAAGTGAAGAAAAGACCTTTCCCTCTTTCCTCTCATTTGGCCTCTGCAAGGTTTTAATAAAGTGAGCATTATTTTTGATGTTTGGTTCTTGTTTTGTGTTTCTTGGTTTATTGCCTATGTGTACTGATGGTGGCAGCAGCCAATGGTCCTTTACAGATTTAGGAAGACCGATAGTACAGTCTTTAGTGAATTGTACTTCTGAGAATGAGTCTTATCACTGTAATTTTATCCCACATTCTTTTTTTTTTTTAAACTGGAAAACTTCAAATACATTCAAGTACAGGGCTGGATGGTTAGCTCAGTTGGTTAGAGCATTGGTGCTGATAACACCAAGGTCCAAGGTTTAATCCCTGCAGTGGTCGGGGATTAAAAAAAAAAAAGATTCAAATATATTCAAAAGTAAAAAGAGTAATAATGATTCTTACCGTTTACCCATCACCTGGTTTCAAATAATCATGGTCAATCTTATTTCATCTGTAACCCCACCACTCACACTGGATTATTTTGAAGCAAATCTCAGACATTAAATCATCCATAAATATTTTAGTATGTAGCTTTAAATCAGTTTTTAAACATTTAACCACAGGGCCATTACCTCATCTAAAGAAATGAATAACTTCTTAATATCACAAATCAGTATTCAAATTTTCTTATCTCAAAAATGTTTAACATTTTGTTCAAATTGGGATCTGATACAATTCATACATGATTGGTTGATATGTGTCATAAATTTCTGATAATCCATAGGTCTTTCTTTCTTGTTTCCTCCTGTGCACTCTTGCTCTCTGTCAGTCTTTTTTCTGTCTTTCCCTTGCAATTTATTTCTTGAGGAAATAGGGTCATTTTTCCTGAGGAGTTCCCAGTTTCAGTCTCACCAATTGCATCTTTGTGATACCATGTCCCTCTGTTCCTTATAATTTAGTGGTTAAACAGAGCTGCACTGTCCAATATGGTAGCCACATACAGCTATTGGGTATTTGAAATGTGACTAATTTAAATTGAGATGTACAATTACATATGTGGCTCATGTTATATTTCTATTGGATAGTGCTGATCTGAGGCTTGATCACATTTAGACTGGAATTTTCTGGCAAGAATACTTTATAGATGTGGTACTTCCATTCAGGAGGCATTACTGTCTGTCTCTTTTTGTGATATTAGCAGCCATTGATAATTGAGATTCATTAATTAATTAGAGGTTGAATAATAGTTTAATTCTGTCATTCTTCAATTATTAGCTGGAGTACTTCTAAAAAGAGAAACTTCCCCTCATAACTTTGGTTATCCTAGGGAACAATTTGCATAGGAAAAGCAAGAGAGAGAGATACTTAATTATCTTTATTTACTAGTTTTCAAAATAATGAGCTGGTTCTCTACCATCCTCCAAAGGTGGCCAATGAGTTTTGTTGTTAAGTATTTATTACGAACTTGGACCCATACATTTTTATTTCAGCCCATTGTTATTATATTTATTGACTGTCTCATCTCTGGCCAGGGGGAGCCTCTTCAACTCAGCTCCTGAGTTCCCACATAATCTCAGCATTCTCTTCCAAGTTTATCTTGTGCATTTCCTGCCCCAGACCTGGAATCAGTCATTTCTCCAATGAGCCCTGGTTTCTTTTCAGTGGAGAAGGTATTTATAGACCATAAACTGTATGATACTGCTCATCACTGGTCGTTTCTTGTTCTTTTCAGTCAACAGAAATAGGAACTACAATTCTACTGAGTCTTTATCCCTTTTCTAAGTCCTGTCCTTTTTATACTTTTATCTGAATTCTCCATATATTGAACATGAATGAATGAAAATAGAGAAATAAAGTTATTGAAAGACTAATGAGAAAGTTAGCCAATTAATTGTTGATTCATCATATACAGTACGTAAGAATACTCTTTTATCCCCTAAGAGAGGAGACCATGGACTTGTGAAAAACGCTAATGAAAGCATTTATTTTTAAGAAATAAATACAGGGAAGATGAAAAAGCTCTGAGAGAAAGATTAGTTATATGTTAAATACTAAGGGTATTCAGCCCAAGTGGCTGAGTTTATGACGTCAAAGAATTTGCCGCTACAAGCTAATCAATTTAATTACTCTAAAACCATCCATGCTCCCAGGTCCACATGACTTTTGTAACAAGAAGCTTAGCTGGGATTATACCATCTGTTGTAGCAATTCACTTCTACACGTTTTGTCAACAGGGAGGCTCTCCTGGGAATTACAAGTAAGTACAAACTATATCTTGTTCCGTCTAAATAAGAATAATATGCAATATTAAAAGGAATATGAATGGTATGAAGTATTGGTAGTGATTTATTTTACGGAATAGAGAGTAAATGAGACATTTCCAACTAAATCCCTTTTTTTTTTTTTAATGCTTAAAGGTGTTTTTAAAATCTTTGTATGCATCCACACAGCAGTTCCTGACTTGCTACATTTGGCCACCCGTTAAGAATTTGTTTCCAATGCAGAATCCATTTGCCTTTTGAAATAAACTTGGTTTCTCATAGTCTCTAAAGTAAAGATCGAGGTCTTTGAGGCAAGTGGTGGTAGTGTATAACTATGCAGAACAGTAGGTGCTCTTTTCAACTTTATTAATTCATGCTTATCAGAATCTGGATATCAGAATTTGAACTGTGTTCTTTGGGAAATGATTTTTTTATTTACCATTTTCCAGATATTGTGTTAGGCACTGGAGACATAATAAGGAGCAAACATACAGGACCCCTGCCCTCCTGGAGTTTGAGTCTGGAGTAGACAGGCTTAATGATTACACAGATAATTAGAGTCATTAGTTATAAGTGGGAGGAGGAAAAGTACTTACTAACCGATTTATATTTTTTTCATTGTCCAAATATTTATTAAGAGCTTATTGAGACTAAGCAAAATACCAAATACTCCTGAACCTCATAGAGAATATAGGTTATGAGGAAGATAGATATTAATACAACAGTCATTTTAAAATGTGCTAAGTGCTTTGAAGGAAAGACATGGTTTTATGAGATGAGTTAGGACTTTTTTTCAAACAGGACCTGTAATACATTTAGGTGAAATAATAGAAAATATATGTCATATAGAAGGGTAAGAATTATCATTTTGCAGTGTACATATGTGTGTGCTAAGTTACAAGGTCACTTTTTAAAACATTCTTGAAAGCCACAGTAATGGGTGGACCTAACCAAGTTTGGGGATCAGGGAGAGCTTTTTTGAGGAAGTGATGTTTCAGCCTTGCTCTGAAAAATGAACAGCTTTTAACTAGTTATGGGGAAGAGACAGGGAAGAAGAACATAGCAAGTATCTGGAATAGTATATGCAAAGGTCCTGTGGTGGGCTAAAAGACCATGGCAGTTGAAGACCAGCATGGCTGGAGTAAGGCAGATGAAGAGGGATCAGGGGGCAGACATTGCAAGGCTTCATAAGGAGTTTAATTTTAATTCTGAAAGCAGCTGGAAACCATTGAAGGAGTTATTGAAGCAGGAGAGTGACTTAGTTTTGTGTTTTGAAATGTTCACTCTTGCCTCAGTGTGTGGAATAGAATTATAATAATAGAGCACGAGAGGATACACAGAGACCAGTTGTCCAAGGGAGACATAATGAGGGCTTGAATTTCCATGATGGCAGTGGAGGTAGTGTGAAATGGCTATAGCCTCCAGAGATTTAAGAGATAAAACTTGGCAGGGGATTTGAGATCAGTGGCGGTAAAGTGTCAGGGATGAGTCCCTGTGCACCTGATCAATGTTGCCAATCCTTGAGACAAGGAAACTTTGGGAGGAGGAGCAGTTTTGGGGAAGGGAAAATCAGGAGTTTACTTTGCACATACTGAGTTTGAGGCACTCTTCAGACGTCTTGGGGGAGATGCTTTATAGGCAGTTGTGTTTATTTGATCTCAGAAGAGAACTAGAGAATTTACTTTGTGACTCATTGGTAGGTAATTGAAGCTATGGGCAAGGATGAAGCCATTTAGAAAGTATAATGAAAAGCTTTAAAAACAATATCAATGTCTTCACCTGGGTCCCACCTAGACCAATCGCCACAACCTCCACCCACCCCACTCTCCATTCCCACGCTCAGATGCAGCCAAATGGGCACAGACTCGTGGACTGGTGTTTGAGAGGTCCTGGGTTGTACAGTTTGCTGACGCATGCACAGCCTGGCTTTCCTAATGTCTTCACTTCCCCACCCTCACCCCACTCCCTCAGGCCTCTCTGGGTCTCTCCCCATCTACTGAATGTAATCAGCACTCAGCCTAAAGTTCAAAGTCCTCCCCAGCTCTACTCCAATATACCCTTTTAATCTTACTGCAGTCTGCTTCCCAGCACAAACCGTCTAAGTGAGTCAAGCAGCGTGTGTCACCCCCTCATTCTGCCCTGCAGGTTCCTGCTTCTTTTTTTTTAAAGATGACCAGTAAGGGGATCTTAACCCTTGACTTGGTGTTGTCAGCACCATGCTCAGCCAGTGAGCCAACCGGCCATCCCTATATAGGATCCGAACCCATGGCCTTGGTGTTATCAGCACCGCACTCTCCGGAGTGAGCCGCGGGCCGGCCCCAGGTTCCTGCTTCTGCTGCCTTGCTCAAGCTGCTCCTTCCCTGGAGTCTTGCTCTCCATCCAACCCTTTCCCTGCTCACAGGCTGTTCTCCCACCCTTCAGGGTCTAGGTCAAGTCCTGTTTCCTAAAGCTTCTCCAACCCCCATAAGGACCAGAACCCTCCCCTTCCTCTGGAGAATATTATTACTTAATGATCTCTACCTCTCATTTTGTACTTAGCGAGGTGACCATCAGTTAGAATATGTTGGAACTAGATCATATCTTACACTGTAGCCCTTGCCATTCTAGAAATGTTCCCGGAATCCTCAAACTTTTAAATTATCCCAGAAGTAAGTGTAGGGCTAAGTAGATAATACATATTAGGATGCAGCTGCTGGGTCTTATACCCGCTAAGCACACTTGTATCTCAATAGAACTGTGGCCCTTACCCATAGCTCAAAATTCAAATTATAGTTGAAAATATGAACGGTACATCTGAGAACACTAAAACTTGCTGAACTTCCCTGTATCTTTTATGACACCCTTATACCACATAGGTTTCCTATAAGAACTGGCTGATGGGGCAGATAATTTATTGCTTACACTGGAACCTGCCTGATCCTGTCTCATGGAGGCAGCATAAAGAATCCATCTCTTGATGTGCAGGGAGCTTGCTCCAGGCATGGGGTGGAGAAGCCTTTTGAGTCATACACAGTAAGACAATGACAAGAATGGACAGATGGGGGTGGAGATGAGGGAATCAAGGGATTTGCCCACCCACCCTTATTTGACCTCTTCGCACTCAGATTACCCACCCTACCTCTCTACATGATGCTCTCATATGAGGAAGGGGATGACCGCAGTGACCCCTAGTAGCAGGGCTTTGCATCATCCTGGCAGGGATGACAGATTGTGTTGAGCCAGAGGCACTCCCTGGTGCAAGCTCCCAGGTAAGGCCTGGTTGTTTGCAAAATGCCAGACTGCAGTCAGGAGTCCAGATTTGAGTATATATTATAGACAGTCATGAGCTTAAATTCTGTGTGAATGAGTTTTTTTTTTTTTTTTCTCAAGGCAACAGACTCAATGTTTAATGTGGTTTAAAATACATCAAAAATCAAATCCCTGGGTGTTGTATTACTAAACAAAGAACAGATGCTACATTTGATCTTAGCCAAAAGGCCAAGAAGTGATCTGTGAATGAATTTTTACTTCTCAGATTTCAGTTTTAGTAGATACTGTTGACTAATACTAATTGACTTTCTTACCAACAGTTCATGACAGTTTTAGATGTTCCACATCCTCATCAACACTTGAATTGTCAGGCTTTTCTATTTTAACCCTTATGGTTATTTGTGTGTGGTGGTATCTAATTGATTAATGAAGTTAAACAACTTATCATATACTTATTGGCTACTTGGATATCATCTTTTGTGAAGTGCCTATTAAAATCTCCAGCCAATTTTTTTTCTTGCCTATTTCTTATTGTTTGTAGAAGTTCTTTGTATCCAAGGGTACTTCAAAAAGATAGTAGAAATATAGAATTAGAAGAAATTGTGAATCTTTCCATGAACTTTTGAAGTTCCCTCAGATATTGGAAAAGAGTCCTTTTGTCAGATAAATGTGTTGCAAATATCTTTTCCCACTCTGGTTTGTTTTTTCACTTTCTTAATGATATCTTCCAATGAATGGAAGTTCTTAACTTTATTGTAATCCAATTTGTCAGTATTTTCCTTCATGATTCGTCCTTTTTGTAACTTGTTTAAGAAGTGTTTGCCTATTCCAAGACCATGAATACTCGTATAGGCTCTTATTTTATCTATATATCCATTTATTTATTTAAGTTATATTACTTTACCTTCCACATTTAGATCCGTAGTCTACCTGGAATTGATTTTTGTGTTTGGTTTGAGATAGACGTCAAGATTTTTTTTTCCAGGTGAATATCCAATTGATCCAGAAGCATTTATTGAAAAGACCCTCTCTTTCCTACTGCTCTGCAGGGCCAATTTTGTCATAAATCAAGGATCCATATATATGTGGAGATGTGCTTCTGGACTTTCTTTTCTGTTCAGTTGCTCTCTTTGTAAGTCCTCATGTCACTGTCTTAATTCCTGTAATTTTAAAGTAAGTCTTGATACCTGATAGTATAAATCTTCCACAGTGTGCTTCTTCAAGATTATCTTGGTCCTTTGCATTTCATATAGTTTTAGAATTGGCTTGCCAATTGTTCCCAGAAAATATGGAATTTTGATACATGGGATCTATAAATCAGTTTGGAGAACTGATATCTGTACAATATTGAGTTTTATAATCCTTGAACATGGTATGGTCCTCCATTTTTTTTTTTTTTTTAAAAAGATGACCGGTAAGGGGATCTTAACCCTTCACTTGGTGTTGTCAGCACCACGCTCAGCCAGTGAGCTAACCGGCCATCCCTATATGGGATCCGAACCCGTGACCTTGGTGTTATCAGCACCACACTCTCCCGAGTGAGCCACGGGCTAGCCCCTGGTCCTCCATTTAATCTAATGTTTTATAGTTTTCTGTGTAGAGGTCTTATACATCTTGTGTTAGATTTAGTCATAGGTGGTTGATACAAATATAAATTATATCTTTTTAAAATTTCAATCCTAATGAAATTTTTAAAGTGTACCATTTACATGGTTTTGTTTGTAATAGAGATATGACTGATTTTTGTATATTGACCTTGCATCCAATGACCTTGCTAATTAACTTACTAATTCTAAGAGTTTTATTTGTACATTCTTATAGGTTTTCTTCATATACAGATAATGGTGGCTTTATTTCTTTCTTTCCAATTCTTATACTTTTATTATTTTCCCTCTCTTTTTGTGCAGGCTAGTACCTCCAGTGCAACTTGAATAAAAGAGATGATAGGGACATCCTTGTCTCATTTCCAATCTTGGGAATACCTTTCAGTATTTCACCATTAAGTGGGATGTTTGATGTAGATGTTTTAGAGATATTCTTTAACAGGCTAAGGAAATTCCCTTCTATTCCTAAGTACTAATAGGGTTTGTTTATTGTTTCTTAAAATAATGAATGGGTATTGATTTTATCAAGTGTTTTTTTCTGTATCTATGGAAATATATAATTATATAATTTTTCTTCTTTATTCTATTGCTATTTATCTTTCATTGATTGATTTCTGGAAAGTTAAGCCAATCTGTCATTCCTGGAATAAACTCAATTTGGCAGTGTTGTATTATTCTATCCATAATTATTTTTGTTAAGATTTTTGCATCTATGTTCATGAGATTGGCTTCTAATTTTCTTGTCAAGTTTGGTATCAACCTTATGCTGAAATCAAAACAATTAGGAAGTATTCCTTATTTTGGAAGAGTTTGTATAATTTGATGTTATTTCTTCCTTAAACGTTTGAGTGACAACTCTTTTGATGAAATGCTTTAGAACTAGTGTTGTGGACCATATTTTGGAAAACTGTGGTCTAGAGTATGATCTAAACATGAAATAGTCAATTCTTGTCAGTGTGGATGCTCTTGCTTTTATTCATTTTCTCCCTTATGCAGCACTGGCCACTTCACCTTTTTCTTAACAGCTGTGTGGGAGTCAGCTAAGTGACCACACAGGAGAGTGGTAAGGCCATTTGTAGACCTAAGCCTCGTCCTCAGGACTCTATACTCTCTCACTGCCACCAGGTGGCCTGCCCAAGCTCTGCTCAACCATCTCCACACTCCTCTGACAGAATGAACGCCCTCGATGGTGTCCCCTTCAAGGTGCCCAAAGGCTTTGTGATAGGCACAGAGGCTCTCCCTGGGCCAGAGCTCAGTGTCCCAGCCTGCAGGGAGCTTCTGCTGGGTTCGTTGGTAAGTACATCTTTTTGTCTATCTGTTTGTCCTGAATTTGTGGGTCTGAGGCTGAGCCCCATGAGGGCTTGTTCCTTGATTTTAAAGGGAAGCTAGGTCTGCTCTTATATAGTCTAGGGAGTTTGGAAATAACCCAGTAGAGGAAAAGATGTTTCATGAAGAAACTGGTGACTGGATGATGAGGATTGTTTAGAGGGTCTTGTTTTAAGCTTAGGATAACTGAGAGGTTGCCTATATGTAGTGACTGAAAGTCATTGCAAGAATGCTTCAACTCTTCCATTCCCTATCAGTCTGCCGCCATGTCTAAAATTCCACCATTAGAATCACTCCTTTGGGCTAAGATAGTGTCTTCAGAATCCTCTGTTAAAACACAGAGAGTTACATGGGACATATTAGAAGGGATTACTGTTCTATGGACCTACAGCACATCTACTCTGGAGGTGGCCTTGAAGCATCCCCATGGCTCATGGCTGACATACTGGGATATGCACACTCCCAGGGTATGTGGTGGTATCACATGTGACCTCAGAATAAAAGTGATTTAAGTGCTTGCTTCAGCAGCACATATACTAAAATTGGAATGATACAGAGAAGATTAGCATGGCCCCTGCACAAGGATGCCATGCAAATTTGTGAAGCGTTCCATATTTTTTTTTTTAACAGATCATCTAGGCAACAAATCAACAGTGTAACCATTATTCTTTCAGAAGGAGAGAAGAAATCTAGGGTAATTAGAGGGGGTAGGAGGGAGAGGGAGGGAGAGGGGGTGAGATTGGACAAGGGGCATAAAGAATAAGTATGATTTGTAACAATATATATGCTAGTAATTTTTTTTTTTTTTTTTTTTTTTAAAGATGACCGGTAAGAGGATCTCAACCCTTGACTTGGTGTTGTCAGCACCACACTCTAACAAGTGAGCTAACCAGCCATCCCTATATAGGATCCGAACCCGTGGCCTTGGTGTCATCAGCACCACACTCTCCCAAGTGAGCCACAGGCCGGCCCTTATATGCTAGTAATATTGATTTGATCAACATATCTCAATGTCGAACCCCCAAAATATGTATAGTCAATTTTGATTCAATAAAAATTTTTTTTTTTTTTTTTTTTGTCTTTTGTCTTTTTTCCATGTCCGGCAATGGATTGCAACCCTCAGTGTTGCCCCCGTACCGGACCGGGGACCGGCAACGGGATCGCAACCCTTGGTGTTGCTCCCGCGCCTCGCTCAGCCAGTGAGCGGGAACCGGTCTGTATGTGGGATCCGAACCCTCGGGCGGGAGCGCCGCCGCGCTTCCCAAGCAGCGCACTATCCAGTGCGCCACCGGGCCGGCCCTCAATAAAAATTTTTTAATTAATTAATTAATTTTTTAAAAAATGACTTAACTTCCTGGAGACTTAAGTTTACTTGAAGATTTAGTGGGGAGACCCATTGCATTCATATTGTAACACAGATATATCATGGGGTAGAATGCAACATTCACATGAATTTAAAAAAATAAAAGAACAAGATTGCCAAGAACTGTGGATCTGGTGTCAGGCCTCTTGGGGTCCCGGACTCTCGTACACTCATTCTCTACTGTCTGCAGTGGACTTCGCAGAAAAGTTGTTTGGCTCTCACTCATTTTGCACATGAGGAACCTGAGGCCTAGAGAAGGGAAATAATTTATCCAAAGTTTGTGGCACTGACAAGACTAAAACCTGTATCCTGACTCCAGGTCATTTCATATTAGCTAAGAATAGGCCTCAGGACATGAGAGACATGGGACAGGTAAGATTTGAAGGCAAAGAAAAACAAAAGAACAAACAAAAAAAGAGGAAGGTTTCAGGGAAGCCAGGATCAGAGAGCACAGTCCAGGAAGGAGAGAAATGGGAGGGTCAGGTATAGAGGCTTAAGTGGCCTAGGGGCACAGGAAAAGATCCAGCGCAGTTTTGCTTCATCTGCAGAGCCTGGAGTTGTACTGAGGCTCCTCAAGACCAAGGTTTCCAGAACTGAAATAAGCTTTGTAAAGCTCAGAGGACCGTGTCCAGGGGTCCGAGCTATGGGCTTTCACTCTGGCAGCTTGTGCTGTGGGCTCTCACTCTGGCATAGGGCCTGTGTTGTTGAGAAGAGGAACTTGCTTTACTGAGCCTACTATGGTGGAGGATCATCACAGCTTTTCCCTCTCTGCTGAGCTCAAGCCACAGTGAGAAGCTATTCTGAAGATTCCCTCTCCTAGAAGCAGAAATGGGCACCCTTCTGCCAAGCCCATCCCATGCGCTACCCTGGCTCTGCCCCCTACTCTTAAGGGTGGGCAACTGCACTTTTTTGAGCCTGTTTCTCTTCCTGAGCCTCCATATCTTCTACCACTGGGCCAAACTAACAAATAAAAAAGCATGAGACTCCAAGTATGATTTACAGCTTCTCCTGGTAAGTCCTCTGAGTCTACCAGGCTAATCACAGTGTTTGGAACTTGAAATGCATTACCCCATAGAAATGATGTTATAGATGGCAGTTAGATTACCAGATGAAATTACAGTGGCCTAAAGGGAAACAAATAATAACAGCTACCATTTATCGAGTACCTACTATGCCCCAGGCCTGTGCCAGGTGTTCTTCATACGTTTGCTCTTCTCATTGTTTTTTTTTTTTTAATTTATTTAATTTTTATTGAGTCAAAATTGATTATACATATTTTTGGGGTTAGACATTGAGATGTGTTGATCAAATCAATATTACTAGCATATATATTGTTACAAATTGTAATTATTCTTTATGCCCCTTGTCCAATCTCTCCCTTCCCCCTCTCCCTCCCCCTCCCCTCTCTAATTACCATAGATTTCTTCTCTCCCTCTGAAAGAATAATGGTTACTCTATTGATTTGCTGCCCAAATGATCTGTCCAATACTGAGAGGCATGATCAGGTCCCCCAATACAATCATAGAGCAGATGCCTCTTCTGTAACTCTGAAATGGGCTTTGTGGAGAAAGACATCCTCCTCCTTTCTTTATCTCTGCTGGTGACTCTTCTTGTGTCAACGCACTCCAGTGGCTGGTGGACCATCTGTGTGGTGGTTGTGGTGTTTAGCCACCTTCGTGGCAGCCATGGTTATCGTGGTGGCTGTGGTGGGCCACCCACATGGAGGAGATGATTTTGGCATGCTTCTTGGTGCTGGTGGTGTGCCTGGTTGTGGAGAGTGTCTGATTCCCGGCTCCACAGGACCCTGGGCAGGCCCCGCCTCTCTCATTTTTATGATGAGCCTTTTAACAGGTCGGTGTTCCCACACCATGGCACAGGAAACCAAAGCTCCCACCCAAGTGACCCATAGGGTCAATGACTTGTGAGTGACACAGCCAGGATCCCAACACAAGTCTGCCAAACCCCAAAGCCTGTGTCCATCCCTTCCACCCTCCTGCCTTCCCAAGGAGCCTTTCCTTGAGGTTTTATATTTTAACAACTGGTAGGACCAATTCCCCTTATTTATATTTTTGTACCCAGAGTTTTTCTGGCTATTCTTATTTGGTTTTTGTATGAACTTTCAAATCATCTTGCGTAGTTCCAAAATCAAAGTGTTGGTATTTTATTAGGTCTTCGTATCTTTTTATCCCCCTGGCTGTCCTGCTGGCCATCTCTTTATCTCTTAGTCTCTTTCTCTCCAAGTATGCCTCATTAGTTCTGAAGTTGTCTTTTTCCCTCCTTTGTCCTTCACAACCCACCTATTTTGCTCTAATCTCGTTTTCTAAGCATTTATTCTGCACATTCTTACAAATGTCCACTCTGGCCTGCCCTGGGCCCTGAAAATACAGAAAGGAATGAGATAGTTCTTGACCTCAGTCAGGGGACCACACTGGAGTAGCTAAGTTATGCTCCTCTCCCCAAGTAGGGTTATGTCAGGGGTGACAGGGGGAAGTACCTGTGACCTAAGTGTAAGTGTCTATGTTTGTCTGTCTTTCTGCCTATCCCCTCCAACTCATCCCTCCCCCCCAAAAAAATCACTTCCTTAATTGACCATGGTAGAACGTTGAAATTGCCTTTTAAAAATTGTTATAGTTTTGGGCCGGCCCGTGGCTCACTTGGGAGAGTGCGGTGCTGATGACACCAAGGCCATGGGTTCGGGTCCCATATAGGGATGGCCGGTTCGCTCACTGGCTGAGCGTGGTGCTGACAACACCAAGTCAAGGGTTAAGATCCCCTTACCGGTCATCTTTAAAAAAAAAAAAAAATTGTTATAGTTTTAATGAAATTTTACGTTTTCTGTTCTTAATTTTAAAGGTAGGGAACGGGAATATTTTATTTTTGCCTCGTTTGTAAACTCTCCAGTTAGGTTATGTCTCCAGACTGCTTTTTAAGGTGGCCTGATATGTAGTGGAGAAAGCACTACAGCCAGCTGGACAGAGGAATACCAGCTCAGCCACTCACCACCAAACTGCCCTCAAGCAAATTAAATTTTCCAAGCCTCATTTTCATAGCCTAGAAATAGGAATGACACTAAAACCTACTAAGTAGAGTTCAACAAAGATTAGCCCTCAAGGGGCCGGCCCGGTGGCGCACTGCTATAGTGCGCCGCTTCGGAGGCGCGGTGGCGCTCCCGCCGAGGGTTCGGATCCCACATACAGACCAGTTCCCGCTCACTGGCTGAGCGAGGGGCGGGCGCAACACCGAGGGTTGCGATCCCGTGGCTGGTCCTGGTCCGGTACGGGCGCAACACTGAGGGTTGCGATCCGTTGCCGGTCACGAAAAAAAAAAAAAGATTAGCCCTCAAGTAACCTCAGATGGCAGCAAAGGGGATGTGGGCAGGCATTACTTCCAAAAGGAGGTTTGTCTGCCTGGATGGTCCTTCAAGGCTGACTGCTTGGTGGCAAACAGTGCTGGGCTCAGGTGAAAGCTTTGCTAAGAACATGTTTTACTGGAGAAAATTTTAAAGCAACTATTGTTCAATTACATACTGAACGGCCATGGGATTTAAATATTGGATTTCATTACATTTCATTCTATTAACTAATTCCTCACTTTGCCCTTCATGCCAGAGTTTGCCATTAAACTATTACTGACATTCATCAACTCCAGTGTTAGTTGAGCTGATGGGTGGGTGGGCTGTGATGGATGCTCGGGGTTGAGAATAGCAAGCAGTCCAGGTCTGGCAAGTCTGGCTGAACAGGGTCCGCTGAGGCCAGGGGTTAGGGATGGGACCCTGGGGCTCTGGTTTGCCCCAGTTGGGTCTCATGTCATTTTCTCTCCGCAGCACGACTTCAGCCTGGAGAGGAGCGCGCTGTTCTGGGTGGAGGCCGCCGTCCGGGGACCCTGCCCATACCAGTGTGGTGGCCCGGGGACAGCGTCAGCCCCACCGGCCTGGCTCTTGCTGGTCAACCCCGAACGCGGGCTGGAGCCTGCGCCTGCCGCAGTCAAAGGCCCAGAGGACGGACCCCAGGAGCTGCCCGAGGACGAGGACGAGGATGTGGATGAGGACGAGGAAGAAGCCTCCTCTGTCAGTGAGGAGGAGCCGGGCTCCGGCGGCCCCCAGCCCGGTTCCCCGGCGAGCCCCGACGCCGGCCGTCGCCCGTGTTCGCTGGACGTGCTGCGCTGCGCGGACCTCCAG